CCGCCCCTAGGAATGGCTGCACCCAATTATTGAGATCGGAGAGTATATGGAATATTTTATTAATTTTCATAGCAATAATCCTATATTCATATGTACAAGTGTTCAGACTGAAGACTTTAAAACCAACGATGAAAATCAAATAAATTAAAGTGCACGCCATGTACCCGTGAAACAACACTACGAAGTACCAACTAAAGTGCAAACACTAAAACTATGAAAACGTTTACTAGTAATTTTAATTAAAAGTATTGCTAAATTGTAATTAAAAGTAGTGATAAATTGTACTGAATTATGCGAATTTCTTTGTTTGTCCATGTTGTGCAGTTTAGTAAATGGTTCAAGAACAAGTCACTCAAAATATGCTCCGTTCTAGCTACAGAATTCGTGATTTTGCGMCCTTTTAATTTCGTACAACTGCACGGATTTAACGTGCTTTAACTCCACTCTATCACGTGTTTCAAAGATGTATGGCGTACATTTTAGTCAAAACAATCGCGAAAGCGACAAAAGGTGCATTACCAAAACATCTACATAGTTTCTGAACTTCAATCTTAATCGGTTATAATTCTATCTATTATATTTTGTATAATTCATAATCTAAATGCCTATTTTACACTAAAAACCCAGATATGCTGTCTGGGCCGAGATTATTATTATTATTATTATTGATTATTATTGGCCGACAATTTATAGTGGATGTTTGAGCAAGGGAGTATGTACAATGTATGGGAGTGGCCGTTAACTAACGAACCAATCAGCACACCAACCACCTAAACAACAAACTAATTAACATACCAACCAACCAACCAACCCGCCACCCAACTAAACAATCCACAGACCAAACAACAAACCACACAATCCAATAACCAACCAAACAACCCAACCAATGAACGGCCACATCAACCTATAGCCCAACCAACCAACCGACCAAACAACCAACCAACCAAACAACCCAACCAATGAACGGCCACACCAACCTATAGCCCAACCAACCAACCGACCAAACAACCAACCAACCAAACAACCAAACAACCAACAGATCAGCCAAACAAACCAACCAGTCAACCAACCTACCAACCTACCAACCAACAAATCCACTAACCAATCCATTTGTCACAAAAACATTCAGCAGCCAAACTGCCAAGCAAACAACCCGTCTACAGTAAATATAAATAAGCAATTTAATTACTTTCGAATAAGATATCATTCAAGTCGCCACCGAGCCCCGCATCAGCCTCAAGCATATTCATAAACATGGCCATTGTCTCTTCATTCTGATGCATGCCGGGACGCTCCATGGACTCKATCGCCTGTTGCATGCCAATCAACTGCTCGACCAAATGTGGTTGCGACATTTCGGGCATTCCTGGACTGTTCATGGCTGGGAACATTGAAAACATAGGACCCCCAACAGCCGAGCTTGATTCGCCAAGGTGTTGTAAGCTTGATGTCGATGGGCCTGGGTTCATTCGCTGCCGATTGGACATTTCGTTTGACACCATATTTGGGTTTGGTGCTTGGGGTCCAAGCAAGGAATGTGGCGYTCTGTTAATGACAAATTCAATTTAATTTGAATTACAATACAATAAGCTCAGGCATGCAAACTTTTCTCATAAAAGTATACTTTGGAAACATTCTCTAGCAAGCCGCCATTGGAAGATGAAATAAATGTTCCATGTTTAATGACGCCGCCAAGTGACTTGGGAACGATTGAAGACCTGWCAGTCAGAGTAGTAGACATATTCATGACTCACATGTTTGGATTAATGCGGTCTTGGCCCATTTCTGCAATAATCGACCCAATCTGTGCTGCCTCCGTAGAACTCGCTTGATCGTCTACATCATCCATCTTAGTTCGGGAGCGTTTCATATCAACATGACCTTGATAGATAGAAAAAGGTTGAGATTTTTATTGATTGGATTCGTAAATGTAATTCCGCTAATYAATTTTCGCTACAAAGGTAGTGAAGTAGGCGGAGATGAACACTGAAGCGATGAAYGAATTGCTTTCATTTCATCATGATTTCATTTTCTTTGCCAATAGCCTTCTTCATGGTTCCCTGCGACATCCTGAAAGGTAGCCGTGCCTTTGCATCGAAGCGAGACGACAGTTGAGCGTA